CACGGGCCCTTAGAATCGTCCTAACTTTTCACCCCCTTACTTTCACTCCCCTGTTCATGGGATGAAGACAACCTTAGACTGTACTTCATATTTTCATTCAATATTCAAAGTGAGACAAATCCAATTCATCATTTTGTGATTATGAATATCGTGTTTAGTCTCTGCAGTCGTAACTTGACTGTTTTGACTTTACTGTACTCGTGTTTTCAAAATCAATGTCACCAAGTTTAAAATATAGAACAATATTTCCAACCTCCAATGGAAACACCTGACATGAGTTTTTACTCAGACTCTGCCTCAGGTTAACGTAACCCTTCCATACAGATGTGCACCACAAATGGGGAACTGAGATTGTGCAAGTGTTCTTTTATGTCAATTAGAAAAATGTAATTTACTGTGGAACATTCAGGAAAGGAGAATCAGCACGACAACACTAGCCTGGTTTGTTAGGTACAACTAATCTAGTTGTCAGATGCTTCTAAGTGAGTTGATTTGTTAATGTGGCTTTCTAAAAGTTTGTTTCCAAAAATAAAGAGTTGCCATTTATGGGCCGAAGCCTGCGAGCTAGTTCAGGCAGTCAACTCGAGCACCAATGATACATTAACACGTGACGCACCTCGTCCCTCTTACAACCAACCAAACACATTCTCCTAAACATGCCGCTCTATTGAAGCTGCCAGGTCTTCCTGCCTCTGCCTCGCTATGCTGCTGCTGCCACTGCTGTGTTCCCTTGCTATTGCTAGGTTCATGTTCCTGCTGCTGTGTTTCATGTTGCTGCTGCTCGCCTTCCCCCATCCCAGCTCCACCCCAGCTTCCACCTGTAGGCTCGGGGGATAGTTATCTAATCATCACTCAATGTTCTTTGTAAATCTGTTCAGTGATGATGCCCAAACTCAAACTATATGCTGCTTCTAATAAACATATTAAGAAACACGTGAGTTGTCTGACTGAAACAAAAATACAATTCCCATCCCCCAGAGGAATCTCCTGGCATCTTTCCACAAAGAGATGGTACTTCTGATTCATTCAGGACATGTTTAGCATTGCAGCAGGTTAACAACACTAAGGGGGAATGGAGATAGACCAGCTGGTCCTTTCTGTCTGGAAGACAATTATATATAATAATGTGGAACAGTGGCGTCATTGCAGCATCAACAGGCGACGAGCGAATTCAACTTTAATGGTGAGTGTGCATTCCCAGTGTCTCTCTGTTTGCATGTTTCATCATGTGCAAGCTCGTTCATGAATGAAATTACCTCAAGGTCTTTTATTCCTTCCTCTGTATATTTAATAAGCATGCGTGTGATGACTGTGTGTTTTCTGTTGCTGAAGCTCTAATGCCCTCCTTCTCTATGGTCTGTGGCCCAAAAGCAGCAGCACTGCAATTATTGATGAGGTTCACTTATCAATAATTCAGCCATACATCTGATTAGCCAATAGGATTGATGGTGGGGCTCTGCACTGAATCCTCACACATCAATCCTCTACTTTGCTCTGGGCTGTTGTTATCTCTCCTCCCATGTCTTTCTGCCTTTTCCGTCTTTGTCTCTGTCATTCTGTCCGTCTCTCTCTCCCCGTCTCTCTCTCTCCCTGTCTCTCTCTTTCTCTTCTCTCCTTTTAATCCAATCCCTCTACATTACCAACATCGACCTGTCTCACCTCTTTGTCTTTCCAAGGCATTGATACCTGTCTAACTGGCAAACACTTTGTTCTGAGAGAGCCACAGTGACGTCAACAGGGGGCAAATGTCATTGACCGGGAAAAAACAAGTGGGACCAAAAGTAAAGAGATGCAGGTGAAACTGTGGGGGAGGGTTTAGCGGTATGCGTTTGTTACAAATAACCCTTTTCCCACTTAAATGAGATCAGTTCTAGTTCCGTGCGGGGGCTAGTTTGGTTCAATTTGCGGACGAAGTGAATTGAGTAGAAGCAAGAGATGTTGTTCAGTAATGAAATACAAAAGAAAGGATCACCCTGAAGGTTTTCTCCCTGCACATAATCCCGCCTACGACGAGGTTACATACTCAATGACTTGACTCTTGATTTATAAAATGATTTTATGATTTAGAAATGATTGTGATGATTTGCTTCCCCAAGGCAACATAGTCCGAACGTAACTTCAAATGACTTCAGCACTGATCGAGGTTTACTGTTACTATCCAAATCTGTTCACGTTTTTCTTCGATTAAAGGTGGGGTAGGTAATTCACTTCAGAAACACTTGTTGTTATATTCCATGGAATGCTCTTCACATCCCGATAGCAATAAATGAAATGCTTTGACACTAAATATATACAAATATTTCATCTGTGGAAACCGTGGCGCTGTAAAAAGCAAGTTCAATCATCTGCCTCGGCCCACGGCAGATAATTGGATGGCCTACCTGCCTGTCAGCCTCCCATCTCGTGTGTGTGGGAGGAGGGGCTCTGTCAGGAAGTCTGAAGGAAGGGGCAGATTGTTTTCGGTTGTGTACTTTCAAATTCTAGCGCACTCGAGCTGGTTTTATCCATTCTTACCCTACCTTTAATAAGTTCAATCAACAAGTCTTTAAACACTGCCAGAGCCCATACCTTGTTCCCGTTAGTGTGTACTTCCCGTCTGTCTTCTTCTGCTTTTCCCGTTAGTGTTTACTTCCTGTCTGTCTTCTTCTTCTGATCTCTCTGTTGTTCTTCACCATCTTCTTTCTGCAGATTGATATGACTGCACATATTCCCTTCACCTTCACTGTTGCTGCTCATATATCCTCTGTAACGGGGTGTGTTTGAACCCAAATGCAGCACACACAGGAACAGTTTGCAAAGAAGTTCAAAGTCAAATCCCAGCCCAAATCCCCTGGTTCCCAGAGCAACTGGCATCCGCCTTGGAAACGCCTTGCGAAAAAAGGGGTAACTAAGAACCATGAGAGGCTGACGGACAGGAGAAGAGTCGGTGGTTATTGGGATGGAACAGAGAGCCTTTTCCAGGACAGCCAGGATCGATACCCATGCTGCCTGCTCCACATCCCCCATGAGCACAGAAAAGTGTGTGTAAATTAGTGCATGGGTGAATCCTCCACAAAACATAAGTGTGTTTGTCTGCTTGGAAAGAGAGAAACAGTGAAAGGAGGGAAGAGCTTGCCACCAAAAGAGCCAAAGTGTTAATTACTTATCGATCCAATTTGGCAGATGACTCCCTAAAAATGCGGAGGGCAGCTCTGCGCGGAGCTGAAAAGGAGAGAGAGGAGACAATCTACTCTTCAAAAGTCTCTCGGACTCCCATCTCTGCCTCACTAAATGTTTACTACCGATTGCTGGCCTCTGAGCCACGCCTGGCTGCACTGCTTACTGCCTTCTTATCACTTCCCAGTTATCTGACTCCTCTCCTCTCTCTGTTTTACTCCCGTTCCACATCTCATTCCATCCTTCACATCTCATCGATGTCCTCTAGCCTCTCACTTTTTCTCTCTGCTCGGCGGTTCGCTCTCTTTCCAAGGAATCCTCAGTAAATCTGTGTCTTTATCAGCGCATTATGCTGCAGTACATTCCTCTGTGTTGTCCTTGTTTCTCTGATCTTCAGCATCTCTCTGTTTCTGTCTTCTTTAAGATTGTGCTTTTCATTTCACTAGCTGACCCCCCCCCCC